CTGAGCCCTGCCTGCTTCCTCAGCCTGGAGCTGGTCATCGAGCAGCCCATCGAAGTGCACAACGTGGAGGTGGAGGTGCTGGACATCAACGACAACGCACCGCGCTTCCCCCGCCAGGATTACCGCCTGGAGATCAGTGAGTCCGCCCTGCCCGGGGCTCGCTTCCACATCGAGAGTGCCCAGGACCCGGACGTGGGCACCAACTCTGTGCAGAGCTACCAGCTCAGCCCCAGCCGCCACTTCGCCCTGGACCTTAAAGGCTTCCAGAGTGGCAGGCACATCCTGGGAAAGGGGGCGACGCGACCGGGAGCAGAGTGCCCTGGAGCGGCTGGTGCTCACTGCTATGGATGGTGGGGATCCCCCCAAGTCTGGTACGGCCCAGATCTCCGTACGAGTTGTGGATACCAATGACAACCCTCCTACCTTTGACCGCTCCACTTACACCGTGAGCCTTCTGGAGAATGCCCTGCCGGGCACGCTAGTGGTCAAACTCAATGCCTCGGACCCCGATGAGGGCTCCAACGGGGATGTGATCTACTCGTTTGGCAGCTACACCCCACAGAAGGTGAGGCAGCTCTTTAGTGTGGACCCACGCTCGGGGGAGGTGCGGGTTAATGGTACCTTGGACTATGAAGAGGCATCCTCCTATGAGATATATGTGCAAGCCACTGATCAGGGCCCTGTCTCTATGGCTGGGCACTGCAAAGTGCTGGTCAAGATTGTGGATGCCAATGATAATGTTCCTGAGGTGGTCCTGACCTCCTTGTACAGCCCAGTGCCAGAGGACGCAAAGGCAGGAACTGTGGTGGCCCTGATGAGCGTCACTGACCAGGATTCAGGGCTGAACAAGCAAGTGAGTCTGCGCATTCCCCCTGGCCTCCCCTTCACACTCAACTCTTTCAAGAACTCCTACACCTTGATTACCCAGGGCAACCTGGACCATGAGAAAGCAGCAGCCTACAACATCACAGTTACGGCTACTGACTCTGGGAGCCCCCCCCTCTCCTCCCAGAAAGTGATCCATGTGGAGATCTCCGACATCAATGACAATCCTCCACGCTTTGAGGAACCTGTGTACTCACTTTACATCCCTGAGAACAACCCCCTTGGAGCCTTGCTGGGTACTATCAAAGCCACTGACCCAGATGCTGCCGAAAATGCCCATGTGTCCTATACTCTGCTAGATAGGGAGATTGAAGGGCAACCTGTTTCCTCCTATGTCTCTATTAAATCCGATAATGGCAATATGTATGCTGTCAGGTCCTTTGACTATGAGACACTAAGGGAGTTCCATGTGATTGTGCAGGCTCAGGATGCTGGGATCCCACCACTGAGCAGCACTGTCACTGTCTACATCTACGTAATGGACGAGAATGACCACGCTCCACAGATTCTGTATCCTACCTCAACCAACGCTTCAGCAGCTGTGGAGATGATCCCACGCTCAGCACACGCTGGATATTTGGTAACCAAAATTATAGCCATTGATGCGGACTCAGGACAAAATGCCTGGTTGTTCTTTGACCTGGTACAAACCTCAGATCCAGGTTTGTTCAGGATAGAGCTCCATACTGGTGAGATTTGGACTACTCGCAAACTGGGAGAGGACAGCATGTCTACTTTCAACCTGACAGTGGAGGTGAGAGACAATGGAGAGCCACCAATGTCCTCATCAGTATCCATCACTGTTACCGTGGTGGACAGAGTTTCCAAAATCATCCCTGATAGAAGGCGGCATGTTAAAAGTCCCAGCAGCTACTCAGAGATCACCATTTATCTCATTATCGCTTTGAGCGCCCTCTCCTTCGTTTTCCTTTTTGCTATCATTGGGCTTACTGTTATCAAGTGCTACAGATACAGTCTGTATGGGGACTCCTGCTGTGCAGGCTTCTGTGGGGTCAGAGAACGGTGCCCTGCTGAATTATACAAGCAGGCCAACAACAACATCGATGCGAGGTTGCCCCACGGTTTAAAAGTACAACCCCATTTCATTGAAGTGAGGGGCAATGGGTCGCTCACTAAGACCTACTGCTATAAGGCATGTCTAACTGCAGGATCAGGAAGTGACACTTTTATGTTTTACAATACCTGTGGCCCAACAGGAACTACTGGTCCCTCTGCAGTGGTGACTGAGAGGCATCTGACAGGACAGAGTGGGCAGAGTGCACAAAACCTGATCATACTTAAAAATGACTCCATTACTCCTAATGAGGTGAGGCTACAGTGATAAATGGTCAGCACGGTGCTCTGAGAAAATCTGTACTTAAGAACTTGAGATTCAAACTGGAAACCCCACGTTAAGTGTATTCCCTTTTGGGCTCACTGACACGCAGCTATTGAACATGGTTCTAATGAATCTAATCTGTGCAATGCATTTTGTTTCTAGGTAAATACTGGGACTTTCAGGGTCTGTTTGGTAAGTTCAGTATCTGCGCCTGTTTTTTGAGGTTTGCTTCATTTTTGCAGTGTATGCTGTGTGTGGAGTATTGCCTCCTTCCTTTTTCTCTTCCAGATCTAAAATTGCCTGCTGCCATGGACTGCAAGGGATTGATGCAGGTGGTCTTAAACTTTTGATGCTAAAACTTATACCGCAGGGAAAAAAAAAAAAGAAGAAAGTAGTGATTAGCCTGGAAATCAACAGATTATTTTATGGCAGTTATAGATGTTTGCCACTTCATTGATTTCATACCTAGGCAAAGCTGTTGAGTTTAGATCATTGCAGTAATGTGCTTTGCTTAACTGTTGTGGGCATGTTGTACTGGTCTGAAAACTGCAGTCCCTTCTTTGATAGTGCTTGTTGTACCCAGTGCTACGTTTTGTGCTTTCTGGACAGTGACAATCCAGTGAGATCTTTGTAGAGAATTACAGCAAGTTACCATCGTCTTGTGACACTGTGACAACTTTGAACCTGCTGGGTTGTTATTGAAACCTGTTTCATACCCATGGTTTGGCCAGTGGTGTATTAACCTTTTCAATATTTTCCCGCAGTGAAGAATTAATGGTTGCTTTATGCCAGCACAGAGGCAGTCTGCAGTTTGCATGTGGTTTGCCTGCTCTGTACAGTTTCCTTTCTACATATATCGCAACTAAACCCACAAGCATTTGCAGGAGAGACTAATTGTGGGTCACAAAAAGAAAATTCTGCAAGCACTGTGTGTTGTTTGTACTCTACAATAGTGGCAGGCAGAAGACCAGATTCGTTTGTGCTCTGCCTCCAAAGGTGGGGGAGCTTGGGGAGTAACAGTGGTGGTAAAGAAAGGAACCTGACTTAAATATTCTTGCCACCTAAAGAATATTTGTTTACTTATTAGTATGTATTCACATATGAAGATGTTAGTATCTTTTGCAAGTGTTGTTTAGTTACACAAAGATGCACAAATCTTAAGTGCTAACAAGTCCTCCATAAAAATGCTTCTGGAGAGTAATGATCATTCATTTTAAACTAATCCATTTAAGATTAATGCAATGGTTTTCTATAAATCACAGTGGCAGGGTATGGGAGAAATATTTTTTCTTGTTCTATGCAGTTTTTGTACCTGAAGAGCTTTCTGAGTATAATAAGATGCTTGGAATCTGTTTGATATAGGAAGGAACAGGAGACATACTCTGTAAGCATGTATGCTGAACAATCAGAGAATGAAATATAGACCTTCAATCTCACTTTTTTTTTTGGAGGGGAAGAAAAACAGGAATTGAAAATGGCTTCACTTTGGATGTGAGAGTGGTAGGAAATTAGTTTAACAGCCAGATTCCTGTCATGTCTTAGGGAATCACTCCATGAATTTGCAAGTTCTGAACAGTGGTGCAGATCAGCTTGTGGCAGCAAATCCAGCCCAGACTTGAAATACAAAAGTAGAGAGATGTATAGAACAAACTATTGAATGCCTAGGTGGAGTTGTGATCCAAAAGAGGAATCAATTATTCAAATAGTTCTGTATGATTTAAACAGAGTTGAAATTCTGACAAGTTCGACTTGTCATGAGTTCTTTTCTTAGGTCTCCTCTTCCTAAACTGTCCTGGGGTAGTATGTGCTATGAAGATGTATCAATGACAGATGTACATGAGAAAATGGGTAAATGTACTGGCATTTACTAATTACTGGTTCCTAGCTAATTACATGCTGTAAAATTTTGCCTCTCCCTTGTTTCAGGCTCAGCATATGCACTGAAGATGCCATCCATTGCTTAGCAACACTGAATTCTACTTTTTAAGGATAACGGTCTTTGATATCTTTAAGGATAATGATCTCCAGAGAATATTTCTCTTTTGGTTAATGTGAACTTTTATTCAGTCTTTCAAATCCCACACTGTCACCTGGGAAACATAGCAACAGGCATCGTTGTCCTTGCATTGATTTATAAAGTGAATCTCTGATGTGTGTGTTGCTTTTGGATAATGTGAACAATGCTTTTATTTTCAGTTTTGGAAATTGACCTTCTATTAAGTGATGAGGATAGGACCAGGTGAATGGGCTTTCTACGCATGTATATTGTACACGTGGTTTCAAAGAGGCTAATATTTTGCAAGTGTTGTTTATACAGTAAGAGAAAAAAAATATTTCAGAGTTATTTGGGGTTAATCTCAGTAACAATGCAGTAAGGTCTTTGTCCTTTCCATATTTGTTAGTAAAGACAAAGATGTTAATAATTAAGTTGTGACTGACTTTGTTGGGTCGTAAGAAGGACTCAGTAGAAAGGAAAACCCAGTTTTTGGAGGTTAGGCAGGGAATTCTTTACATCTGTTGAGCTGATTCCTGTGTCAGTCTCCTGACTTGTACTGCTGGTGTTGTGATGGTGGAATAGGAGCTTGTTTCTGCAAGACAGTCCATGCTTCTTTCACACTGCTAGCCTGTATGGTCCTTGATAGGTTCATAAGGATATCTCAAACCAAGTGTGGTTTGTAAAAGAAGAAATGGCCTGACACTAAGAGCTGCACTGAAGACCTTAGACACAGTTACTGATGGCAGGATAAAGTATTGATAAGGATCAAACTGTGGGGTTAACAGGTATTGCTCTTTCATCAGCTAGGTACCTACTACAGGGTGGCAAGGTGGATGGTGTGGGCAAAATGCAGACATAGCAAAATCCTATGGCTTCATTGCTGGTGCTGTGTGAGGTTATGGGCAGCCTTTCAAAAGGGGCGTGCATACAGATGTGAAGGGGGAAGGGGTGAGGATGTCATTTTGTTACCGGGCACTGCTGCAGTCGTGATCTGACACTTTCAGGAAAGGTTTCAATGCTTTAGTCGGGAGTCCCTTCACTCATATGCCTGTGAAGATGCTGAGTGATGTCTGGGTTGCATCTGGTCCTTCGTCTGACTTTTCGTCTGTCCCATCTTGTTCTTGCGTTCTGTGTGGTTAAGTTCATTTGTTATATCTTGTGTCTTATGACAATCTTTGATGAGTGGGCAGTCTGGGTACTTGACAGAAGTACATAAAAACTCTTCTGGTTATATGTTTCCTTGTACCCTTTTTTTTTGTGTGGTGACACAGGTGGCTGACAAAAGATGGTTTCATGTGATGTTCAGAACTACATTCACATGGTGCTCTGTGAGCACTTTTTAGAAAGTGAAACAAAAGCCGCACATAAGTGATGGTGAAACCCAGGTGTTTCCTGGAGTTTTATGGCTCTTTGCTCTGCTTTTGGGTTTTTCTCTGTATTTTTGCACTTCAAAACCAGCTTGCTAAACACACAGAAAAAACAAACTCTTGAGTTGAACACATTTTGATACTGCTTTAAAATGCAAGCATATTCTGAAGTGCCTAAATCTAGTAAACTGACAGCATTGTCTGGAGCAGTCTCACTAAGAGATTTCTCACAGGGGCTTTAGAGGTATTAATGGTGGAATATCTTTACAGTCTCAGTTCAAGACCTTAAGCCTTTAAGAAATTCTCCAGCCTCACTGACATTGTAAAGGTTAACTATAAATGTTTGTACTTTTGTTTAGTGGCAGTATCCAAACCTGTTCTGCCAAGCAGGGACAGTGCTCTGTGCTTCAGGGCAGTCAGACTCTTGGTTTGATGCTTATTGCTGTGCCAGCAAAAATCTGCATCTAATATTAAGCAGAGGAGTTTTTCTTCTCTTAGAACTCATTCAATAGAGTTTACAGAAGCACTTGCTTGTTCCCTTCACCCGAGTTTTCTCAGAGTTAGGAATGCAAGTGGACACTGCCAGGAAGAAAATCTTTGGGCTTCTGAATTACACCCTTTTTCAGTTTCCAGTTCTGATTTCTTGTGTGGCAAACACATGTTCTGGCTATAAATACTTTGCTTTCCACATCAGATTAATTCTGAACATTAAAAGAAGTAAATCAGGAAGAGAAGCCTCTGTTTCCCCATATCTGTCAGCATGGTCTCACTGGAAAATAAGCAGAGCTGTTTGCGGTGAGGGGTTCTAAAATGCCTTTTATTATTGCTTCCAAGTGGATATATTTGATAAATATACCTTATGTCGCTCTGTCATACATTTGTGTGGAAACAGGAATGGAGTGGGATGTTTTTAGTAGTCTCATAAGCTAGTAATTGTTTGTAAATGTTTGATTCACACTTCTCTATCTCAAGCAGGCTCTGTGCTAACACGCACTGAAGTCAGTGGTAGCCTTTGTATTGATTTTCATGAATAAGAAAGAGGTGAAGACAACAGTAAAAAATTTATGGAAATTCTGTCTATACCAGGGACAAATCTTTAGTGTGTTAGAGCCTCAGCTAAAAAAAGGTGAACTGAGCAAAATGTTTGAAGCAATGTATTTTCAACTGAATTTATTCTCCATGAGTGAATGAAACAATTCTTAAATTAACCCATGCTGTGGAATTTGGAAATAATTGTGTGAGATTTTGCATGAGTTTTTTGGTTTTGTTTTGGTTGTGTTTGTTTGTTTTTTGCTATTACGGTAGCTCTGTTTTGTATTACATATTCACTTTATCAGACTTTCCAGCAGGGTTAGTTGTTTATAACTAGTTGCATTAATGCTTGTGGTTATGTGATTGGCAGAATGTAATCCTGGTGCCAGGAAGAACCATCAGGAGCAAACTGTTGGCATGAGGTGTTCTCCTGATGCAGTGACAACCACTTCTGTAGGCACCTGGATAGATTTTGACTCATCTTATAACTATGAGGATGTGTTCTGTTACTAAATCCGAAAAAGCAGATGATAGGAAAAAGAGGGAATCGTTGATTACTTCTGTGTTGGATTGTGTGATTTTTCACACCTCCACTGACGAGTGATAAGGACAGGACCACTGGATTTGATCCATAGTCTCCGAGGAAAATGGCAGACTAAGAGTAAATGAAGATTAAAATTTGTAGAATGGGTTGGTGTGTGATAAACGGGATCTTGTAATGAGTTGGGAGCTGGGGACAGAGAAGGAACAATAATATCTTCATCAGCATCGTGTGATAGAGTGAGAATATGGGGAAATACAACTGGGAAGCACCTGGACCAGTTCAGAGTCTGTATTCCTTTCTCCACTTCCCCTCCGTACTTGTGCTTCCTGGCCAGCTGTACTTTGTCCTGGTGGTGTTGACATGACACAGTGACACTTCTCACAGCAAAGCCTGTGACAGGGCTTTGCAGAAGAGCCCGTTGACAGCTGCTGTGCAGAATCCTGTCCCCTGGGACTCTCCTGAAGACATGGCTCTTCTTTGAGATGGGCCATATCGTGTCATGACAGAGTGAACCGTGTCCTGTGTAACAGCACGTGGCAGGTTTCAGTGGGTGGTCTGGTGAAGGTGGACTGTTCATAGCCAGACATATGAGCTAACCCAAGCATGCAGAGTGTGACTGCCTGATGGATCTGTAAGAAGCACCACTGCTGCATCTGAACTGGGGAAAGATGTTATTGAACAGGTTTGCTGCTTCTGCTATGCTCTCACTTCTATTACTGGACATGCTTTTTTGCTTTTCTTGCTCCTAATTGCCCAATCTCATTTAAAGATGTATTAGAAAAACTTTTATTTTATGACCAGAGGAATAAAGAATTACAGTCTGTAGCAGAACAAAAGGAGAGTCCAGTTACACTGACAAAATTGGGATTTCACCAGTTTTCTCAGCTGCAGGATGCTGACTTGTGATAACACAAGTGTGGGATAAGCATGCATCTCTTGCTGAGGTCTGAAAGTTCCCAGTCAAGCATTGTGCACATGGTAAATAAAATGGGGTGAGAGTGGGCCTGGGCAAAGGCAGACTGCCACCCAACTGCCTGCTCCTCCTGTTCTTCCTGTGAAGACTTCAAAAAGTAAAGAAGTCTTAGACATTTAAATTTTTCACAGTTAAAAACAAAAAGCTCCTGGAAGTGTCTGAAACAGCATATTTTTCTGATCCTGTCCCCTCTTTCCTTCTTCTACTCCTCTGGGAGTAGTACTACAGCCATGCCTGAAGAGTGGCAGCAAATGGAGAACTGTTTGGGAGTAGCCAAAAGATGCCACAGCTTCTGGAACCTTTGAAAACACCACAATCTCCTAATTGCTGCTGTTTCAGTTATACTGACATGGTAAATTTTGGTCCATGCACTTGGAGTGAATGAATGATGAATTTTTTAGTGATGACTTTCTCCCACCACCATCATCTGTTTATGATCTGGTGTCCAAAAGTTCCAACTGCAAGAGAGCATAGATCTTTATCTTCTGGCTAAGAGCTGGAAAACTGTCAGCTCAAAACCAAAAGTCTATATCCTTGGAGTATATAGAGTGAGTGGCTGTTTTCCTCTTTCCTCACTCATACCAAACTCATGTCAGACTTTTCCAGCTCTTTGATGTAATCTTGCTTCATCTGAGTTTTGCCTGGGACTGTGGTAAGATTCCTCCTCTTCCTCACACTGCCTATAAGCCTGTACAAATTGGTGACCTGCACCTCTCAAACTGAAAAAAAGAGGAAAGGGGCTTTTCCCCCAGACCGTCCATTCCCCTGCTATAAGAAAATACACAGCATAGGAAAAGCCAAATCTTCTGGTGTTAGCATCCTCATACATCAAGGAAGGCAAGCTTGGGAGAGGATCTGATCAGGCTGTTACTTTCTATCCTCTTTCATTGACTATCACTACATGGTTGACTTTAAAATTACTTTGACATCCCTGGGACTGGGGCCAAAATGGAATGAATCAGAAAACACTGGAATCCTGCATAACAGTCTCCTTGTCAAGCCACTTTCTGCTAAACTCAGCAAAACCTGAGCATGCCAGAGAACTGGGGGCTAATTGGGAAGGAAATTGCTAGCCCAGATGTTTAATGTGTGGTTGCAAATAGAAGCCTCCTTCCTTTTGTGACTCTGACCATAAAGAATACTAGGATGCACATCGTCCAAGAGCGTCTTGCTCCTGAGTGACGCTGGACATGGGAAATATGGTGATAGATTGATATTGTAGGTTGTAATTGCTCCAGTTTTATTTGAATAAAAATTATTGATCCAGGGAAAAGCATACCCCAAACCTCAAGACGAAAGAGAGTTGGCTTTAAATAATTCAGACCATTCAACACTTTCTTTTTCTCTTTGAACTAATGGGCCAAAATTCATTTCTGATCTGCCTCCAATAGCTTGGAGAGAATTAAACCATTACTGTCATATATTATTTGTGTGTTTGGCACTGTAAAAGACAGACCAGAAATGAGTGTAGTCCGTTATGCTTCTGTACGTAATTTTTCTCTTTGAATTCGAGTGCCAGAAGTTAAGCACTGCTTGTGATAGTACCTGCCAAATAATGTTTTGCAAATCCTGAGAAATAACCTTGTTTACTGGCTTAGGGCCTAATTTTAAAGGACCTGACTGTGATGTTCCCCTGACAATGCAAACAAGATATTTTTCTGGAGCAATTTTTGATCAACAGAGGATTTCTTAATTATCTCTTTATTTAGCAGGCCATTCTGCAGCTGGTCGGCATATGCTGAGGTTTGTTGGTCAACAGGTACTGCTAACTGTTGTCCCCTTCCACTTTTTATGCCTTCTTATGAATGTGGAGGACACAGTAGTTCTTTGTACTACGAAAGAGCATGTCTGCCTTTGATAAAACACTTGCTGCAGTCTCCAAATCTAGTGCAGTCCTCTGCAGTACACTAAATGCCAGCAGAAACCTCACAGCAGAGACCACCCCACATGTCCCCATCACAGGGGGCTGGGTTTGCTATATCCTCAGGCAGATGCCCAGGTTTCCTCAGCTGATCAGGTAAACAATGTGCATTATGGATTTATGATGTGTTCTGTGTTACTGTGCCCAGAATGTTGATGAATGTACAAAATAACTGCCCACGAGTTTCCAGCGTCAAATGTTGTTCCACGGAGATCATCTTTAGCCAAAGGCCCTGGCGTGCAAACAGATTTCTTTTTTACAGAGACTCTGTGTGTCCATTTGAAAGTTTCTTTACATTTGTAGAAAGATTTGGCAGTTCTGAACCTTCTCAAGAATTGAGTAGCCCCACAGAGACTCTTGTGACAGAATTAGCCAGGTGTGTATGCTTTTCAGCACATTTAACATACATTAACAACATTATCCTGGGCTTTTCTCTCTACAGCCAAAACACCCCAACCCTGACTGGCGCTACTCAGCATTGAATGCAAGGGTACGTATGGCCTTTCCCCACGGGAGGGGGGATCCTGGCCTTGTCCTCTGTGACAAGGACAAAGCTGCCTGGCACCTCTGATGCCCCAGACTGGTGATGTCTGTATGCTGAGATGGAAAGCACCTGAATTCTGCCGCTGTCACTTCCAGTCTCCAAGTGCTGCAGATTCAGTCTGACTGCATCTTATGCTGTTATTATACTACTGTAGATCTGTGGCTTTTTTGTGTGTTTACAGCCTACCTTTTTATATGTTGACTGTCAAGATGTAATTGCTTCATTCATTGAGTTATTTAACTGGAAATAGACACTTTTTGTTTACTTTAAAGCTCCCTGTAATCATCAATGCTGATATGTGTCAATAGACTCTCTGCAGCATTGATGTTTTCCATCTTCTTGTCTCTCATTCCCATAACAGTATACTGCTCCTGCAGTCGGTTTAACCACCACATGGTGCAATCAAGACTATTAATACAGTTTAAAGGACATTTTGAAGATATGAGGTGGTTTTATAAAGAAGGAAAAGTGAGGCTGTGTCCAAATCTCTTTAGATGTCTTTGAAAGTTCTCTACCTAACATTACAAGCAATCTCTGCTGTACTTTGATACTCAGTACGCCCAGAAAAAGAGAATTATAATAAAGTTGGTTTTGTAGAGCCTAAATAAAATAATATTTTTGCTCTCCCTTCCTAAGCAGATTAGAAAACTGGGTTTATATGCAGATGTGTTCTTATTAACAAGATGACTTTTCAGATTTAGGTACAATTGTAAGGCTGCAGTAATTCCTAGGGGCACTAGAAAGCACAGGACACTGTGCTTCTCTCCAGGTTGTTGATGCAGTGGGACCATAGTTGTCACCTTTAATCCATTATCCACAGGGCTGAAATGTCTTCATAAGGTTCAAGTCCAAAACTCAGATCCAGCCTGTCCATTACTGCAACTGTACTTCACGTGGGTGAGGGCACTCTGTACCTCTCCAGGTGACTTTGGGCTGCTGTGTAAGAAGGAACCTAAACTTCAGGGACCACAAGGAAAGGAAGAACGGGCAAGCTTGATTCTGTGGTCTGTTGGACAAACTGGTTTCTTTCTTCTGTGTTCCTGCTGTTATTTTTTTCTGTTTAATCCTTGACTGCTTACTCAAAAATGAATAAACAATCTGGGCAGCAGGATCCTGAAGCAGGAATTCTCATGCATACCTGAGCATCTACTGGTCCTCAGAGTTGGGCATCATGCTCTTGTATATTCCCAAGGTGGTCCTGTGGATCCGCTTTCTGTTCTATACAGACTTCAAGATCTTGTCTGAAGTTACTTGAACAATTAATGACAAATCAGAACTCATTTAAAGCAATTCACCCCACAGGCAGGGGAGCTAATTAAGCCTTTCTGGGAAATAGTGTATTCCTCTGTCCTCTCACATCAGCAGCCCCTGACCTTTCCTCAGATCTCAGGTTCTGAGTCTGTGTGAATTGCCTACTTGATGATTTTCATAAAATGATTTTTCATAAAACGTGTAGAAATTTTGATATCTGTAGGGCTTGACATCTGCCACACTTGGTTGAAACTGCCCATTAAGTTCAACTGGGAGTGTGGAAGGGAGCTGAGAAGCAGATGAGCAGAGAGAGCACCATGGTCACAGAGTCCTATTTCTCTAAGGAACTGCACATAAATACATGCCTAGTTTTGCATTAAAAGGAGCAGATTTTTTATTTTCCTTTCATGTGAAGTGCTGGCTAATATCCAAATCGGTGCTTTCAAGACCAAGTGCTCACAATGTGACCTTGTAAAATCTGCTGTGTTAGTTTCTGTGTTTGAGAAAATTTATTTCTTTCTGAATTGCTCATGAGAACCACCCAGGAAGGTGGGATCTGTTCAAGTAACATAATGACAAGCTCAGAACTTACTCCACCAACTTTTTATCATTTGTTTGAATGCTAACACATCAGCAAAGAAGGTGTGTAACTCCCTTGTTGGCAACTTCCAGTCAATGAAAGCAAAGTGTCCTGCAGGTTGGTTTGTTTTATAAATCATGCCATACTGTGTTTTGGTAAATAATTAAAGATATTTTTATCTATGATGGTATATTTTTTGCAAGTTGAAAGAACCAGTGGTCCAGCAGCATTTGTTAGCATCGTGTAATGCTATAGTGGTAGTTGCACAGCAACAGTTACAAGCTTTGAAGAGCAGCAAGAAAAGGGATTGTTATAAAGCCCATGGCAGAGGGGAACGGTATAATCTAACTATGATATATGCTTATTTAGTGCTGTGCATGTGGAGGAGGCAGGAGTCCTGCGTGGAGGACCCGGAGGGCCTGATCAGCAGTGGCCAACAGTCTCCAGTGCTACTCCAGGTAAGGCTGTGAAAATCCAGGATATATGTGAGGAGCTGGTGTTAACTGAAGTAGATCTAACACTTCCATCTTAGTTTTTCTTCTGTTTTGTGTCTTTGAGTAAAGTTCTTGTAAATGAATGTGTGGAATCTAAATAGAGTGGAATAATAAGGCATAAAATACAGCTTTTTTCCTTTACTCAGTCTCAGATGAGCACTGGAGATAAGAGTCCTTAATCCCAGCTTTCACCCTGCCTTTGGAGTTTATTGGTTTGTGTAATGGAATAATGGAAGGACTTCAGTTCTGATGTGTATATTCAGATTCAAAATGCTTGGGTTTAGAGCTGATTTCAAAAGAGCAGTAACACTGAGGTGTGAGCTTACCAGTTCTCCCTTTGTAATTTTTACAAACCCAGCGAGTCTCTTTTAATGTTTTTTCTCATTCTCTGTGGTGAAATCAGACCTTTTTTTTTTTTTTGCTATTTTCATTCACTGGTACAGGATGACAGAAACTCAACTATTATTTACTTGTAAAAATATTTGGCTAAAAATAATGTTAAAAATATACCTTCACTCACTCAGTCACTGACTGGTGACTTCACAGCAGTCACTAAGAATTGGCAAAAGTTCCTCATTGACTTAAGAAATCTATTACAGTGCAGACAATAAAATATTCTTAATTTTTATATTGTAGCAGGAATAATATAGAGCCATAGTGGAGTAGCCAGTCACTGGTGTGATCATCAATTTTAGCCACGTCCAAACTAAGCTGTCAACTTAGTGGATGCCCTGTGTAGGGTTGTGAGCCCTGTATGACAGCTCTGAGCACTGTGAGCCCACCAGAAATCCAAATGAACAGTGACCCTTCTATCACAAAGGCAAATCAAGGGTTGAGAACTGAGGTCTCCAGCAAGAAAGATGTGGGAGCTGCTTTATTTAATACTTTTTGGAGCAAATCTTTCCCTTAGTTTAAATGGGAATTTTACCTGGATAAAGGGCTGAGGAGCAACTTCAGGATTTGCAGTCGCACTTACAACATATCCATGAATTGATGGTGCCCAGCAAGACTTGCATTGGTGTTGCAGAAGGATTGTCTGCAGAAACAGATTTGGGAATTCATATATATAATGGGCCCCTAGGCTATAATTATCTGGTTTTTGTGTGCTCTTCCTTCTGTTGCAGGCTTTGCAGGAAGACACAGCTTGTGGATGTTATGAAGGGTGCGTAACTGTTGAGCTTGCATTTGAAAATGTCACCTCAAGTACACTCTAACCTTTCCAAGGGGTTCCCTCAGGCTTTCAGCTGCACTAATCATCCTTGACTGAGTGCTCAGTGTGTTATGTTCTACCAAGTTCAGTAAGGATGCAAATACTCACCGAGATGTTCACTTGCTGCTAATGCAGATTTCTAAGTACGTGAATGTAAGTGCAAAGGTGGGATGGTTCTGTCTGCTGAGGAGGTCTGTTGGCATTTGGGTCCTAGAGCCCTGTTCTGCCATCTGGATGCCTTGCTGCTGGGGTTATTTTTGGGTCTTATAATTTTAGACTCACTTTGGGAACCTGAATATGTCCTTGTTTGAGGAGCAGCACTAACCCTTGGCTCTTACTGCTCTTTCCCTCCATGACCATGCAATGAGGCACCAGTGCAGTGAATGCCCCCGTCACACGCCGCTCTGTATGGTGGTGGCTGTGTAGGGTGGAGGAAACTAGGCACAGTGAGAGGAGAAGCTGGCAGGAGGTTCTGTGGAGCTGAGCAGCCCAAGTGCCAAGGCTATTTACTTTGGCCCTTGAATTGGGCATTGTAGATCATTGTTTTTCTGTGGTTTTTATTTCTAGGTAATCTATTCAAACAGGTTTCAAGAAATATATTAAGCAACAGGAAATTTTTCTGCTGTACAGGAAGATGTGACTAATTAAAATTGCTTTGCAAAGTAGCCACATTAGGTACAGCTACCTTTAAGTCCAATTTTTGTGAACCAGGTTCCTTGTAAATTAGTACTTTTTCCTGCACAATGAAGATATATTTGTTTCATCCTTGTATGCTCCCAAGGGATTAATGACCTTGACCCCCTGTCAATTAGCCCTTTTTTTAGTAATTTTCAGGTAATATTCTTACCCAGTCTTTGTAAGCAAAAGCTACAGGTATTCCTGGTCCTTAATAGCAAATACATGATTTAGAGGGAAATCTCAGGATTAATGATTGTGCTAATTTTCGTCACTTAATACATCGTCATGCATCATATTTTCAGCAATTTACTACAACTGTTTTAGAACCCTATCTGCAGCTTCTCACAAATATTTCTCTCAGTGATTTTTCCTCTTTCTGGCTTAGGTTCAAGACCTGTAATATTTTTTACCAGGTTAACAACTGGTGCTTTTTCAGAAGAGCTGCAACTCATTATGGTTAATGGCAGTTGATAAAGTCCACGGTGCATTTACTCCTGACATGTCATTTGCATATGAATGGAGTGCACCTGGGTCCAGATAATCTCCTAGATAAGCAATTTGTTATCTCTGTTACCACCATAGCATGGCTGCTGCAGGTCTTGACTTCTGCTTACTAGAAACCACTTCGAAGCCTATTGCATTCCCCGTGCAGTTTTAGTCAATTGATTAATCCAAATCAGTTTGTCACTAAATCGTTCATTTAATTTAACAATCTACAAAAGCCATGGATAAAGTGCCTCACAGAGCCGGGTTCAGAGACTTAATCAATGAGAGCATTCAAAGATGATGTCATAAGGACTCTTTAAGAAGGATGAACAAGTCAAGTAGTAAATCCTTAATTCCTAATGCATAGCTGTACTCAAACATCACATGATGTTTCAGGAACTTGGTCCTGGTTTGACTGACAGCACTCCTATTGACTTCATTGCATATTTCACACATGCAAGGGACGGTGAATCTCAATCTGGCGTGTTTAAATTGTCTTTGCATTTTCTTATATGCCAGTCCAATAGTTTGTAGGTTTATATTTGGGATACATCCAAAGGAGGTGGGACTAGAAGGGTCAAAATCTTTCTGGGTAGAGGCAGCATTGAACTTACCTTCCTGGGGCATCTCATTTGTCTTTCCCATGCTATATAGTGAGTCCAGGAAATGCAGACAGATTTCTGGGGTTTTTATGTCTCTCGGCAGATTTTGGCAATTACAGGTTACCACTAATCTGAGTGAACTTTTATCTTCTGGATGCCTAACTCTGAAAAACTGGAGTTTGGTTTCCAGAAATGGTGGGAACTCATAATAGAAACTAAGACAAAGAGAAAATTTGCTTTAAATATACAACTCTGAACATTTCTGAATAAATCAGACCTATGTGTAATTCAGAGCTTAGAATTAGTGGGCATTAGACAGATCTGTGTGTACTTTTCTGTGCTCCTGGTTCCAGTCTGCAAAACAGAACTGGTGACGCAAGTACTTCACAAAAACAGTCTAAAGATGCTTTCATAGCACATGTAAGACTCAAGAGAATGAGAAAGTTTTCTGATGAAGAATAGCCATGAGGAATTTTAGTTCTTATTTTCAATGTGCGCTTTATATGTGTGTAGTAAATAAGGCATGGGGCCACCCACCACATATATAGAGAGGAAAAATAACTTCCATTCACACAGCTCTGTAGACTAAAGAGGAAAGGCCCTCATGGAAAAAACCTGCATCTGAAATTTGTAAGCTTGAAGACCTTGAGTGAAATACTGACATCTCTGAAGTCCATGGCAAATAGCCTACTGATTTCAAGGAAGCTGGGATTTCAGTTTCTAGCCTTATGAGCGTGCACAAGGGACTGAATTAAGGTTGCATGGCCTAAAATATGCTAGTTTTATGCTTCTAATTTTGCAGTAGTGACATTCTTCTGAGCATATCTTTCAGTTTCGTTTCCTTTTCCTAGGTAATCAGCTGGGTAAGAGAGGAGAGAGCTTTGTTTTTTTAAAGCACTCCTATGAAAAAAGCCGTTTTACTGTGGGAGAATCTACCGACCTCAACATGGGTAGTTCTGCACTCTTAACATTTGTGGTGCATAAATTTATTCCTTGCACTGGCCAAGTAAACAGCAGTAGTAAAATTGGCTGCGGTTCCTTAAGAGAAACAAGCAGGAGAGACAGGTTAGCTGTGGGTTTCATAGCTACTTGAAAAGTCAGGGGAGTAGTAGAACCAAGAAACCCAGAGATCAGTCCTAGGTCTGAAGAGGACTGTATGTATATATATATATATATATGTTGTTTGCCAAGTCCAGCTGGAGGCTGTGTCCCCCAGGGATCAGTGCTGGGTCCAGTCCTGTTCAACATCTTCATTAACGACCTCAATGATGGTATAGAGTGTCCTCTCAGCAAGTTTATTGATGATGCAAAGCTGAGAGCTTTGGCTGATACAGCTGAAGGCTGTGCAGCCATTCAGTGAGATCTGGACAGACTGGAGAGCTGGGCCAAGAGGATCCTAATGAGGTTCAACAAGAATGAATGCAGAGTCCTGCACCTGGGCAGGAGTAATAAAATGCATCAGTACAGGTTAGGAGGAGATCTGCTAGAGGGGAGCCCCATGGAGAGGGACCTTGGAGTCCTAGTGGACAACAAGTTGTCCATGGGACAGCACTGTGCCCTTGTGGCCAGGAGGGCCAATGGTGTCCTGGGGTACATTAAGAAAAGTGTGTCCAACACCCCTCTACTCTGCCCTGGTGAGACCTCACCTGGAGTATTGTGTCCAGTTCACAGCCCCCCATTTCAAGGACAGAGATCTACTCAAGAGAGTCCAGCAGAGGGCTACGAGGATGACTGGGGGACTGGAACACCTGCTGTATGAGGAGAGGCTGAGAGAGCTGGGGCTTTTTAGTCTGGAGAAGACTTAAGGGAGATCTAATTAATATATGAGGGCTGGGTGTCAAGAAGAAAGGGGCAACCTCTTTTCAATTGTATCTTGTGATAGGACGAGGGGCAATGGATACAAGCTGGAGCACAGGAAGTTCCACCTCAACATGAGGAAGAACTTCTTTACTGTAAGGGTTCCAGAGCACTGGAACAGGCTCCCCAGG